GGCGCTCCTTCTTCAAGAGCAGCTGCTAATGCTCAATGTCAACATAATTTTTGAAAAAAATCAATGAGAAGCTAAGGGAAATATTGTTCAGCTACTGACAGAAGCATCTGAAAACACGTCCAGTGAGAAATGGCATCTGAATTTAAAGATGTGTTCAATGTGTTAAAGCGGAGTGGGGAAGCTATTTTGGAAGTTATGAAAAGCACTAGTAATGATATGGTGCAATGTTTTAAGACATTCAATAAGGTTGATCTCATTTTGCAGGTGGTTCAAAGGTTCAGACAGGAGTTTCTAACAAGACTCGTTAAAACAGTTATGTCATGTGAGAAGAAAGTTTTGGATAGTCACATTTACACATTTCAAATATTTTTTTGGCAGGAGTAAAACCTGGCAGAGAAGCATGATATGGATGAAGAAAAGCATCCTTCTTTCTTTCTTCGTTATTTATCCATTTGTAAAACTTAAAATATGTGGTTAAAGTATTCGTTTGTTAAAATTTAAGTTAACTTATGTTATTAAATCTTTTTGGATACAATACAGCCTTCTGTGTGCTTGCCTACTGGGACTGAAAAAAATGCAAAGAGGGGCGGAAGAGAAGCTGGATAAAAAGTTGGGGGGCCAGGTTGAATGGCAAGAGGCTGAGGCTGGCCAGCTCTGATAAGCGGCAGCGGCAGCCAGTAAAAGGACAGCCAGATGCAAAGTGTGCGCGGAAAGGCACAACATGTATTTTGTGAAGAAATTTCATTTTTCATTCATCTGAAATACTCAGTAAAATAATAATCAGTAAAAATTTGCAAGATTAGCACCTGGCATCTGGTTGAATCATTGCAAGAGAAATTCAATAGATTTTCATGGATTTACAAGGGAACCCAAGTGGCCCCTGGTGGTGTAACAGTTACAAAGCAGGGAAAATCACGTTTTCGGGTATAAGTCAGATCCACGTTGAAAATTTAAAACGATAACAACTACCCTCATGGAAGAAATTCAGGAGCTAAAAATAAAACACATCCGAGGAGTTTTAAATTACACCAAAAATAAAAGTAAAACAATAAAAGCAGCTGACAATGTGGAGCTGCAGACACAATTAAGGCGGCTTGCAGGCAATCTTTGTGACATGGACACAGGAAAAGTGTTACGTTTAAAAAGGAAAGGTGTAACGCGGACAAGTGTCCAGTGTTACTGTTGTCAACGCAGAGCTGACTTTCTACACTCCATAAGGAATAGGAATCGCCTTTTCTTTTCCAGTCCCTTCCGCAAACCCTTGGCTGGATTAACTCTGAAACCCGGGTCGCCCCCACGTTCACCACCCATAAGTCCCTTGGCTGTGTCTGCAGTTGAGTTTTTGGGAATAAAGAATCCTTAGGAAAAAAAATCTGCAGCTACTTTTATTTTGGTTGGGCAGGGGAGGGGGCAAGGGAAGGGGCTGTGTAGATTCATTTGAATGCCCCCCACTTCCCCAGTCCGCTGGCACTATGGGCAAGGTGCAGTCAGGAGGCCAGATGTGGCTTTTTGGGGAACCCCCAGGCAAAGCTTTCCCCGGGACGGGCTGATCCTCTACAGTCGGTGCCTGCACTGAGCAGATCTGGCCCTTTTCCCCTCTCCAACACAGACACGGAGCAATGCAGTGAGTTATTAAACAGTCCAGTAACATCAAAGCAGACTAGGCCCAAACCTTCAGGCATTTACAGATTGCCTGTTTTTTTACCCGAGGGGTCTGTGTATTGAGAAAACGGAGCCAGGCCTTTGTCCTAGTCTGAGCACATCTGCGCTGGGGCTGTGCCAGTGTCGCTGGGCAAGGGATGCGCACCCGTCCCCAGAGCAGACCTTCCCGTGTGTGTGCACGCGACTTCCCTGGGGCCACGGGCATTACCGCAGGGAGCCACACAGTGCACCTCTGCCTCGCAGCCGTTGCCCACCCGACTTGCCCTTGATAAAACCATGCTGGCTGTCACATGGCAGTTTGTTAATTTCTTAAAGTCATTACAAATACTTTTTTATATATATCTATATCTACATACATACACACTCCAGTGTCTTGCCCAGTACTAAGATTAGACTACTCTGTAATTCACTGCGTCTTTCCTTTTCCCCTTTTCTGAAGTACTGTATTTGTTCTCTTCCAGCTTTCTGAGACCGCACCTCGCCTCTCAAACATAACGAGTCAATGAGTCTGCAATTAATTCAGCTAATTCTTCGAGTGCTCTACGCTGCATCTCATCGGGGCCTGCTAATGTGAAAACCCTGATCTTACTGAAATAATCCCCACATCGCTCTTTTCTTTCTCTGGGCTTTGAGTAGTTCTCCCCTTTCTCGATGCTAATTGTGCTTGTCATTGCATAGGAGACCATTTCTGAGGAAACTTGGAGGAAAAGAAGGTATGATATATTTCAGCCATTTCTTCATTTGTCTCAGGATAGGCTCCAACAAACTCCCTTGCTCCTTGCCATAGCTTCCCCAAAGAAACAGCCCTTCTGCGTTAGCAGCAGTGCGTTTCTTTGAAGAACGAACCATTTGCTTTAAGTCCGAGGTCTGGTAAGATTGACGATTCCCACCATAAAGGCCCCACATCATACTCCCAGTCAAAACCGTCGCTTGCAGCTCTTCATCTAAGAAACCTGTGTCACAAGGAGATTGGAACGGCGCGCGCACAGAGCAAGAAGCCGACACCGTGCCAGAAACATTTTCATAGCCATCAGGGCTGCAAGAGACCTTGTAAGATCATGGGGTCCAGCCCATTTGCAAACAGTCCAAGTGAGCGAGGCCCAGGGCTCTTCGTTCTCCCAAAGCCGTTTTCAACCAGCGTTTCACGGCCCCGCCATCGGACCGTGCACGGCCAGGCACCATCCCCGCCTCCCCACTTCTCTAAACTAGCGGCTTCCATCTCTGCCCGCAGCCCCGCACTGGAGTCAGGGCCCCGCGGCAGACGCCACCGCTCAGCTGCCACTCGGGCTTTGACTGAAGTGCAGAGACGAGCAGCAACTCTGCTGCTGCGAAGAGCTCAGGAGGACCAGTCACCGCAGCACTGGTTTCATTGCTATGGATTCAGCCTGGGCAACACACACATTTTTGGCCTCAGTCTTGTTCAGGCAAAACTTCCTATTTGTATTTTGAAAAAAAATCATCTTTTGCAGAGTGTAAAGTGTAATGTATCATCTGTGATTTGCCTTCAAGTTAGCTCCCCGCTAAGAGCAAAGCCTGGTGTTACAGACTGTAACGTAATTATGCTAAAGTGCACTTTCCCCCGAGCAGCGCGGGGGCGGAACAGGTCCCAGCCCTGCTGCCGCTCCCAACACGACCCCCCAACGACCCGCTCGCCGCGCGCCAACTGCCGACCCCGCCCCCGGCGCGCCTACATAAAGGCTCTCAGCCCTGACGGGCGTCCCGCACAACGCCTTGGAAACAACCTTTTATTAAAAAAAAAAAAAAAAAAAAAATCCACAGCTGCTTTTTGGGGGAGCCAGGAGCCCCACCCCTCACGCTTGTTTAACTTCACGTGTAAACGGGGCCCAGCAGCACCAAACCCCTCCTAAAAAATCAAGCCGCCACCTGGGCAGATGCCTTTGATTTCCTCCAGCAGGATCGGGGTGAGAGGGGATAAAACCCCTTGTTTTGTCCTTTTGTCAATGTTTGCTTCCCCTCAGCTGGTGCCTGGGGCTGTTGATTAGGGATTCAATCTATTATTATTATTATTATTCTCCTCCTCGTCTCTCTCCTTCCCTCCCCCACCCTCCCGGAGGCTTTTGGCTCTGCCCGGAGAGCAGTCACGGGGTCCTGGACGAGGCTGACGTCAGTTCCTTATTCCCGATTCCTCGGGCAAAATCCTTCCTGGGCCGCCCCAGACGTCCTGTCGATGCTACCGGGGGACTGTCCCACAGACCCCGACCATGGTCCTGCCCGGCCCAGAGCGTGGTTTGGCCGTGCCAAGCTGACAGCCCCCTCCCCCGCCACTGCACTACGTATAATGGCTTGAATAAGGGACCGGTTTTGACTGGGTTTCCGGTTGGAAATCTTTTTGGGGCCACCCCACCCCACACCCCTGCCACCGGGGGACTCTTCTGGACGTCTGTAGCCAGAGACTTGCCCGGCCCAGAGCACAGTTTGGCCACGCCGAGCTGCTTACCGGCATATTCCACCCCCGCCACCCAAACCCACTCTACTAAATCTATGCTCTTGAATTAGGAACTGGTTTTGGGGGTGAGATTGTGATTGGATTTCCTTTTTGGGCCACCCCGCACCATGTCTCTCTGGCACCGGGGGACTCTCGACATCTCCCGGCCAAAGCTCAGTTTGTTCGTGCCAGGCGTCCATGTGACAGCCCCCCCCGCAGCCACTGGACTAAGTATATGAGTTTAAATTAGGAACTGGTTTCTGGACTGGGATTAGAGGTGGGAATGCTTCTGGGCCAGCTTGCACCGTGACTCTGGCACTAGGGGAGTCTGCTGTAGAGACAGACAAGAGTAGGGTGGGTGCTGCGGGGGTGGCAGAGGGTCCTGGCCTCTCGCTGCTGCAGACGCTTCCGAGTCTTCCAGGGGGTGCAGTCGTGTGGTCTCACCCGCACACATCCACGGCATAGCTCACAGGCTGGTGGCACTGGTTCCCTGCTGCCCCGATGCCTGGGTCTCCTGAATCCCGGCAGAAGTGAGATCAAATCACACCAGGGTAGCACCCACTGGGGAAAGCAGGGGGCAACGTCCTCCCCTGCACGACTGTGCACAGGCTGTGCCCCTGGTCTGCTCGCTCCCAATGTATTTCCCCTCCCACCTTCCAAAATGTGCAAGGTCTAAAAGGAGCTGTGCACTGTGCAGCCCAACCCAGAGGGAGCAGGGTGGTACAACTGGTGCTTTGTACCCAGCTGTCCCAGATGGATGTCAGTGCACTTGTATTTTATGGGCAGGTTATGACAAATGGCTACATATGTCTAAAGAAGTACAGAGGCACATAAATAACCATCAACTAATATATAATACAAGAAAGTTCATGATGATACAGTATAATATAAAATTAAACACTATAATATAACTTAGCCTAACCTAACAAAATATATAGTGGGGAGAGGAGAGGCAGGGGAGTGGGAAGGGCTGGAGAGGAAGGGGGCAGAGCAGGGGGAATAGCTTTCAGGTGTACATTTTCTGCCCTACACCCTGCAGCCCTCACATCCACTCCTCCAGGCTCGATGTCCTGCAGACCAGGTCCTTAAAAACAAAAAGGCAACAGAGAAACTCCTAGCAGCTTCCCAGGTGGCAGAGGAGAGAGAAAAACCAAAAGATGATGAATGGGGAGCAGAGACCACCATGCAGACGCGTGACGCATCAGTCACCCATGCTGACGAACATCAGCAGCGTCACAGCGTGACCTGCCCAGCTGGTTGGAAGTTGGTCCTGACTAACATCAGCAGAGTCCCAAGAGTCAGAAACTTCGACCAGAGAGACAGGGTGGGCCCCACAGGCTGGTGGTGGTCACACAGCACGGACAGCTGCCGCCTGCCTGGGGCATGTTTTAGAAATCCAGGTGCAAGCAGTGGGAACTGTCCCCAGGGGCAGGGCCCGGAGCAGGCAATACCCACACAATGCTCCCATGCAACGAGGAAAATTTCCCAAGATGCCAAGAAGAGGCAGGCACCAAACCCCAGGCCTGCTCCCCACTGAGCTCTGCCACCAAGCAGCCACTGGGGTGCTACTGTTCTGGCGTCTTACCGGGAGGGGGCCGGGGGCCGCGGGTCTCTGTCTATGCTCCCGGAGCACGGGAACTGCCAGAGTACAGCCCCGAGAATCCTCTTCAGTAACTGCAGTGCAATGAATCGTGGCACGGAGTCAGTGAGAGAGAAGAAAACTCACAAGATTAAAATCAATACAAAACCATGGCCACAGCCTGACCCCACTGAGCAGCTCCCCTGACAATGCCCATGGCTGTGCCTGGGTGAGTGCACTGCTGACACAGCTCTCGGGTGGCCAGTGACAGCTGCTGACTGTTGGTAACCAGCACTTCCATCCAGCTATTCAGTTCCTGGGCCCTGCTCCAGGATCAGGCCTCCTAAACCTCTCGCCACTGCTATCACTTCCTGCCCAGGGCCTCTTCCTAGAAGATGTGTCCTAGACAACTTCCACCGAGTCCCAGCCGTGGGGCTCCTAGGTGTCAAGAGACATCCCTGGTGAGAAACACGAGCCAAGTCTGAGAGTAGAGGTGATGCAGCTGCCTTCAAAAACAGCCAGCTGGTGTGGGGACGACTGCTTCTGCCTTACACGAAGCGGATGGGTAAGACCCTCTAACCAGGAACCTCTGGTATGGTCCTAGCAGGAGCACTGGCAAAGCGCAGTCAAGGTCACCAGACATAACACCCTCAAGACATGTCCCAAGACATAACAGCCTCACCTGCCTGTCTCCCCTGACTTCATGAAGAGGAAGAAAAATCTGAGTGGCATCACACTAATTCAATTCCCTTGCAGTACATGGGAGGCTGAGACGCCATGTAAAGATGTTCCAGCACAGCATATGAAAGGGCAATTTCAAGTATGTTCTGATGACACGGGCCATTGCTGGAGTGCAGAATTAGAAAAGCTGTTAGTACTAAGAGATGTGATACCTTTTTCAGTGACTCCAGGAGATATTGTATTGCCCCCTTCACATTGGGTCCAGGTTGACCCAGTCCCCAAGTTCTTCCTGCCTGGAAAGTTGAACATGATGTTACTCACAGGACTGCAAAGTCCAAGAGGTGCCTTGGAGCCCCACGGTGTTAGGACTGGGGTAAGAGAAGACTGTGCACCAGCCCAGCACTTCCCGTCTCAAGGGATGCAATTGGGAAAGGTGGAAAGATACAGGAGCTCCTGCATGAAGAACATTTCCACAGGAGCTTTAGTATTTCTGTTCCAACTGTATGACAAACAGCTGCCAAAAGCCTCCTAGTTCTCCGGGAGCTTCACCCACCCATTAAGGCTGTCTTGCACTACAACCTGAGCTTGCAGACATTGGCCAATAGTCCCTAGGCAGGACGGGCTTTTATACATGTGTGTTCAGAATATGAATCGTCCAACCCTTCAGTGGGAGCCCCTGAGAAAGCAAAGAGGCTGCAACGGGAGGTTCATGCACAATGGTTCCTGCATCCTGAGGCTGGGGCATAAACCTCTGATTCCAGTAACACTAATGGTCTGATCCTGCATCACAATGTTGTCTTCCCTGGCAGTGGGACCAGGGTGAGTGATAGCACTGGATTGGTTCCAGATGGGCATTGGAGGGCACGTTGCACTTCCATCACCTCGTCTATCTATCCATCCCATCCATTCATCTAGAAGTTGATACTTGGGATACTATAAGCATCCCAAGAGCCAGAAACTGCAATCAGAGAGCCAGGGTGGGCCCCACTGGTTGCAGTTCCCACTGCACTGGCAGCTGCTGCCCGCTGTGGACACGGGTTAGAAATCCAGCCTTAAGCAGTGTGAAGTGTCCCCATGGGTAGTGACCTGAAGGGATCCTAGACTGGGTTCAAAGACACAAGTGGACATCCGGGAAGGTAACTCACCTCTGCCTGCCCTGGCTGCTTCCCAGGCATGGCAGCTTCCTTGTTCTGTGTGCCCTGAAGAGATCAAGGTCATAAATACAAGGCACTTTCCACAAACTAAGGTGGTTGCTGACCAAGGACGGTGGTCCTCCACCTCCAGGCCTGGAGCTTTTCCCTGAGGGAAACCCCTTGTGCTTGCAGACTCTGCCCAGGGCCAAGTGACCTTCTGGGTCTGCCTTGGTCTCCACCAGAGCTTAGCCCAGGTCCCTGGCAGGGCAGGGGAGCCCCAGCCCGGCCTCTTCCAGCACAGGGCAGGGCTGGCGCACACACGGTGCTCAGGGGGAAACTGGCTGCTTAGGCAGCAGCTCTCCCGGCAGCAGAGCAAGGGCATCTCCCTGCAAAGGGCTCGTTTGCTGGAAGCAGTGCGGCTTCTAGGTGCCAAGAGATATGTCTGGGGAGGAACATAGGCCTAGTCCGAGGGCAGACGCAAGGACACGCACCAGCCCTTTCAGCTGGGGGTGGGGAAGACAACTTACTAGGGCTGGTGTCTGCCGCTGCCTCGGCTGCTCATGTCTGAAGGGTGCCGAAGCCCCTGCTCCACCCTGCCAGGCTCCCCTGCAGCGGGCTGGCCCTGCTGGATGCTGCCAGACACAAGTTGAACATTGTGTTATGGGTTGGGCCTTGACACATTTCAATCCCCAAGTAGCCAGAGGGAAAGGAGTCCGAAGCGACAGCTGCAAAAAGGAGGCAGACACCAAGCCCCGAGGTCCTCTCCCACCAGAGCTCTGCCACCGAGCAGCTGTTGAGGTTCGGCTCTTATCGTGTCTTACCGGCACGGCACCGGGAGGACGCTGGCCCCAAACCCTCCTCCTTGGAGGGCACGGGTACTGCCATCGTGCAGCCCCGAGTAGCATCTTAAGTGTCTGCAGTGAAAGAAATGGTGACATGACGTCAGTGAGGGAGAAGATGAAACACTTGATTAAAACCAAAGCAATGCCCCAGCCACAGCCCCACTCCCACTGACAGGCACTCCTGGCAATGCCCCTGGGTGTGCCTGGGTGAGCACGGAGGCAGCTCTCACGTAGGACACGGTCAAAGCTGCTGACTGTAGCTAATCATCATTGCCATCCAGCAGCTCAATTCTGGTCCTCTCAAACCCCATGGACCTGCTATCGGTTCCTCCACAGGGCCCTTCCCAGAAGATGGGCACAACACTTCCCATGAGTCCCAGCTGTGGGGCTCCTAAGCACCAAGAAACGTGGCTGGTGAGTAGTACCAGCCTAGTTTGAGGGTCGAAGTCACAGACCCACCACTGAAGCTCATTCAGATTGTCCCCAGGGCCAAGTGACCTCCCCAATTTGCCCTGGGCTTCACTGGAGCCTGGCACAGGTCCCTGGCAGTACAGGGCAGACCCAACACACAGTCTCCACGCTGGAGAGAGTCTCGCCCATGTGGTGCTGGGGGAAGCTGGGTGATCACACAGCCCCTTCCCAGCTGCAGGACAAGAGCATCTCCCTGCAAAGCACTGGTGCAGCCAAGAGGCTGAATAAAAACATTTCCCTGGACCAGGAAACCTAAATTTCTGACTCACCAACTCCACCAGTGGGCAAGGCCATTCCTCCATCCCCCATCTGGTGCCCATCTCCGAATTCCCTGGGCTGGGATATGGAGTAACGCAGGCCTGGAAAGGAAAATACAGTTAGCTCTTGGACTGTGACAGCACAACACATCTGGAGCGTGCCTGGGGATTGGGTTGGGGCAGTGGGAGTACGACCCCCACCACCTCAGGGCTACTGGTGCTCCTGATCCAGGCCACAGCCACCCCAGGCAGAAGAGTCCTGTGCCCTTTCACTGGGAATAGCTCTGCGGGGATCTTCCAGGTTGATCCAGCAGAGCACTTGGACATGGACAACTCCTAGCTCCAAAGTGCTCTCCTACTTGCTGGCTGGATGCCATGGGACGTATTTGTGGCCCCCTTCCAGCCTGAAGTGGGGATTCCTGCACTGTAGGGTGCTCTTTTGCTCCATTTTGTAAGTTCACAAACAAATCATTTCTGTCCTGACCCTGCAGCTCTGGGCCACGGGGCTGTGTTCCAGCTAGTGGAGCAAACATCATGGATGGGGCCCTGTCATGAACCTGGTTCCTGGTGTTTAAGGAGTAGGGCAGGGGCTATTTCAAACTGGCTATGCCTGGATTGGATTGATAGTATTGCGGGAGGCTGCCCCTGGCTCCAGGAGTGAGCTTCAATCCCTTAGCTGTCTTGTGCTCCATGCGCCCAAATGGTACCAGTCCTGTCCTCAGACACTGTATCACATTAGGGGCATAATCTTGCTTATATCTGTGGCAGTCGGGTGGCAAGGCAGACTGAGGCTATGGGCTCAATAGCCTAGAATGGCAGGCGAGTACTGGTGACACCGGAGAGGAGCTAGGCACACGATGCGTAATGGTTGAAAAACATCTCTTTACTTACGCTGACGGTGATGATTACAGTGTAGGTCGATGGAACTGGGCTTGAGTTACAGTTACAACGAAAAAAAACCACGACGAGTTGCAAAGACGGTAAATGCGATAAGAGATGATGCAACAAGATATGAACGACGGTTGTAAACGGCTTTTTGATGCGGCCGTGGGGGGGGGAAAGCTCGTCAAATTGGATATCGGCGACGGGAGTACCCTCCGAGAAACACCCGGAATATTTCCTCTGAGAAAAACCGTGCAGAATAGCTCTTTGAGAGAAAACTGCGGAGGAGCTCTTTCCTCAGAGAAAACCACAGGGTACCTCCCCATGGGCGGAAACTAACTTAGCTTTTAAATGGCCGGGAAACCAATCGCAACTTGTCAAATATGAATAATTTGGAAATGGCCAATAGTGGTGTGCGCATCTGCATATGATTGGCGGGAAATTTTTCTAAGCTTGTAATTTTCCATGACCTAGCTTAGTCACTGGGCTCTGGTACAGCGGGATTTTCCCCCTGCGACCTACTTTAGCTGTGACCTCTATATCACCCCAAAGGAACTCTCCACCGTGGCACAGGCGTACAGGCCAAATGGGATCTTCCAATGCACCAGGACTGTACTAAACTGCTGAGTGAGGAGATGGAATATACCAAACCCAACAGTTACCACAGTTGCTAGGCAGACTCTATTGTGTCGGAGACACTTCTCAATCTGGATACGTACTAAAAATTGAGCAATACCAATCACCTAAAAAGGCTTTCTATTGTGTCAGGGACACTCACTTAATTTGGGTTATGACATGCCCCCTTGGCCATGACACAATAGATTAAGCACTTCAATTATGAGCTCGTCGCCGTACGGGTTAGGTGGCAAATGGGTATATTAAATTGTCATCTCATCTATAAACTCGTCGGGCTCAGGAAGATTTGATAACCGGGTATAAACGTAAGCAATAACTAAGGCAATCATTATAAGGTTAATCAATGAAATTATGCCCGTAACAAAAAGTCCAATTGCAAGAATCTCGATGGGCGACCTGGTGATGTCACTCGCCGAGGCTCGTGGTGGTGCTCTTTCTCCATCGAGGGTCCGGGCAGCGTCCGTCAGGTTATTCGGGTTGACGATGTACCATGAACTTGACCCGTGTACCATAACGGAGACCACTAGGACGACCCAGATGTGTTTCATGTCAGTGGACCTGTTACGGCTCCCTTGTCGATCAACACTGAAAGAAAACATAAACAACAACAAGCAGTAACTAGGGTCATAACTGGGTTAAAGTTCAACAGGTTAACTAATTTTGATGGGCAAGGTCTGCCACTGCTGGTGTTCGGTTAGGGTTCTGCTCGAATGGTTCTTCTCCAATTTGATGTTCCTCTTCCTTTGGCGCAGGTTTCTCGTCAACGTCTTAATACTGTTTTCTGTCCATTTACGACATCCTTTACACCTTATTTTTCCGTCCAAAATTCCCTTCCTTTCCTTCTATCTTTTACTTCTACTTCCCTTTTCCTCTTCCTTTTGTGTACAGGTCCCTATAGAACCTGATCACCTTTCTTTCTTTGTCTTTACTACTTGCCCCCTTCCATCATCATCTTCTTCATCTCTTTCCTCACTTTCTGAACTTTCTTTTGTAAAATATACACCCTTGTTGGTATAGACTCGTGGC